AACGAGGATTATATTTTCTGGAATGCGGTTACTTTACAGTTTCTATATTTTACTGTAAACAAGTAAAACGGCAAAGACGTATTTGAGACAAGAGTATGTCTCGGAGACTCACTTCTAAGCGGGACCACTTCGACGCTCAAGGCGGGTTTCGTTCTCATTCTCCAATCTTTGGTATCGCTAGTTTTGAACGCGATCTTTCAAATTTCGCCGGCCTCGACCACGAGGTCGTCCACGTGAAATATTCGGTGAAATTAACCTATCTAATTTCAGGGGCGTGCCGTGACATTTGATGATAGGGATGCTGTGTTTCTGTAAGAAGCCGACATCCAGGGGCAATCGGTCAATCGCGCGTCAGTGATTGTCAAGGGTCCATTCGTATCGTTTATTCGATAAGCCAGTAAAAACCGTGGACTTCTCTAAATGCATTTTTAATATCACAATTACATTCCGAATCGCTATCCACGATATAAGGGCTACAATTAAAAATAAAATATGTGGTGGATGTACCGGTACATACAAAATATTCTTCAATTATACGAATATACTTTTTTAAAAAAAATTATAATTAAATATAGCTTTGCAAAGAAACGTACCGAAAGTCTCCTGTCTTTAGAAATTTTTCAAAAAAAAAATTGTCAACTTCAAAAGTGTATTTTACAAACTGTAAACAAGTCTGATGCTATCTAAGCTCTCAATCGTCTTCCTGTATGTGTTTTTTAACTGTCACAACAATTAAATCCTTTATACCAAACCCCGGGCCAAAAATATCTCAGTATTTCCAAAAATACACCATCTAAAATCATACAGCACGTAGAGGTAAAAATGGAGATTATTGGCAGATAACATCGATAGTAATCTTCTTTTACACTGTAATTGGTTAATTTATGTCTGTTATTAGATCCATCTATAAAAACAATTGCTGGAAATATTCCCGCGAAATGCCGTGCCCCCGAAGGCTACCACATCGAAGTATGTAAACAATCGCTATAAAATCGCGTGTTTTAATCTTTTTTTCCACTTGCTAATGATAAGTCGCTTGACAGTATTTAGACGAATAAACATGTTTTTAACATCATTTAGCAATAAATATCGCCAAAAAACACCACCTTTCAAACTTTCAATGCTAAGTCTATGGGAAACTTTTTTTTTTGCAGTTTATTGGTTTTAAAACTTCTGTTTTTACGCCTTTTATGCTCTAATTGGTCATTTCTATCATGATTGACTCGATATCAACCAATAAGCGTTTTCTCGAAACTGTAAGTCAGATCCGTCCACCTCGGTTAGTCGCGCTAATAAAACTTACTCTGTTAGGTGCGCAGGGTACTATTTTACCCCACTGATTTCCATTGTGGCTCTGTGCAAAAAATTTTTTTTCGTGCAATTTTGAAATTTTTTCGGTGCGATCTTCACACCATCGAAGGAAGGTACTGAGGGCATCATTTTTCAGCACTAAAAACATTAAAAAATACACGCGTTTAAAGACGCCGGGGGATCTATATCAACCCGCGCGTCTAACCGTGGGTTTAAAATTAGATCAGTTACAGGGATATTTGTGGGATTAAAATCGCCGATAATTTTAAATTAGTAANTTGAAATTAACAGAATATGTAAAAGTTCACGTCACACCTTTCACCATGTGATGGCACATCAGTGTGCCATCACACACGTTGCGGAACACTGTCCTAGGCTTCCGCCAGCTAAACTGGGTGAGGTTGGTGTTCTGTAAAGCGCATGCGCGAATCTCGCTTTTTGGAATCTGACAATACAGAGATTCCACTCCGCCACTAATATTCGAATATACAATTGCGATCTTATCTTTTTTTCACGTGTAGTATAGAAATTTGTAATAAGATACGTAATGCGGTTATAATAAAATATTGTGCGATTATTTTCGTATAATTAAAATTAATATGTATTTATTATTTATAAAATACAAGGGAAGCGGCGCTTCCACCGCTTCTAATTACGGCACGCCACTGCCCCTTCCTCCCTTTCAGTGCGGACATCGTTTAAAGACAGCCCCTTACAACAGAGGAGTAAAAATATAATTAATACCAACAAATGTACAGTTTGATAAAATGGAAAAAAATCCATGTAATGAATCTAAATGAAAAGCAATGTCTAATGGTAAGCTTATAATAATGATAAAATTATCATAAAATAGTTTAGCAATAAGTAAATATTTTAATGTTCAGAATAAACAATACTATTGTATTTCTTGTTATTATATATGAACAAAATCAGACTAAAACACAATATGTTTCAAATGAAATTAAGTTTTACATGATAGAAATTTAATGAATTTTACAGTTCAATAATTATGAAAGGTGTGTAAGTCCATTTATGGCCCAGAAAGAATATATTAATTTAGTTAAATTCATATAGAAGTCTTTATTCAATCAACTTACATATTTCTAAAGTCATAAAATCATTGTCAAACTTAGTACACTTTATTTATATTTTTGAATCAACTAAAATGCAAATGCTTAAATATCTCGAAAGAAAAATTACACCACTTTCAAAATAAACGGTCCATATTTCGAATATCACAATCATATAAAGTAATAAACCGTGTGATTTAATACACTTTTGCAAAGTTATATAAGATCTTGTATAAATATCGATAAATACCGCGAGTACCTTGTATATAAATATCAATATTCTTTATTATGTTGTTACTACTAAATATTGTTGATTTGTTTTTCAAGTAAAAATCAATAAAATAACAAAATCAGTGTTTTTATTCTTTTTACTATTCATATTTTAAAGACAGGTTTTGTTTAATTTGGCTAGCCAGTGGCCCAGTAGATAAAACTCTGCATACTAGTCACATGTGCACGGGTAGGCCACGTGGAATTATCTGGGTTTTCTTTGCTTGTTTAAAACCTACACAGTTTCCCATAAAAACATCTAAATAGGGTTCAGTTTTTTCCAAGAAAGTCCAGCAGGGAAGCTTTCTTCCTTTGAAGCTTTCTTCCTTAATTCAATCGATTCAAACCAATCCAATCTAATAACATCTTATCTATTATTAAAAAATGAATCGAATTCCATTATACAGAAATACAGAAATACCTAGAAATACTAACTAAATAACTAGAAATACAGAAATATTCATTCGCAAAAACAAGCTCGTTTCAAATTGAATTGATGTTGATCGATTGCATTCCAATCATAAAATTCTGCACATCGCATAGATGAGTAAACTATTTCCGTTATTTGCGTTCTAATATAAGCGAATAAACGCGGAAGGAGAAGGAAAAATTGTCGCTGTTTTTAGAAAACAGCTTTAGAGTAGTAAATTAGAAATGTTATAGAGTAAGAAGTTGCATTGCTTGTTGTTAGATGCAATATGGCGGAGAATTGCGTTTACTGTATGCTTTATCCCATAATTTCTATCTCTATAGTTTTTGGCGATATTTATTACAAACGCTGCGATTGTCACCAGTTGAACGCCAGGCAATCAAAATTAATAGAATTTTACAGGAAATGCATTCTGATATTCTCGGTTACTGAAACAATTGTATTTGTCCTTCAGAATCTTGCAACTAAAGAGAATGTTGTATTCTGTAGTCCTATTGAAAGATATAACGGTAGAGAAATGCATCCTTTTCTGAAAATGGCCTTTTATTTCATTAATATTGGTTGCATTCTTTGCATACATATCGGTAGGAAGAAAATAAGCTTTGACATGAAAATATCGAGTTACGCCGGTGAGAAGGAAAAATTATTTTGGTATCAATTGATAATGTTAGGGTTTTTCGGTGGATCTTTTTTCATAATTTTCATTTTTGACGCTTTCATGTCCTCGCTTGTTTTCTTTCCGGTAATAGAGAAGGATTCGAGTTCTTTTCGAGCACTTTTTTGCTCTCTTTCGTTTACTGTACTTGGTACTTACAAAATGGCATTCTATTTATGGATGATACCGGCATCGTTAACAGTAGTCCTTCTGATACTGGAGAGATTCAAAGAGTTAGCGAAACAATTACAATTAAGCAGAAATAGATGCGCAATGTATGACGTAGACGAAATCATCTGGAAGCATGCAGAGATTTATGATCTTATAAATCAGATGAATAACAAATGGAAGGAGCTATTTTTCGTTATATTTGGCATAGTAATTTATATCTTAGCGTTTTTTCTTTACAATGCTATTTTCGGCGAACTGGATATAATTTTTCGGCTATTATTATGTCTCGCTACCATTTTTTCGGTTTTTCTGGTGTTGTTGTTTTCTTTTGCTGTTTCCCGTATTTCGGCATGCGTAAGTTCTGTTGGGCAGAATAAGAATTTTTATCAATTTTATATTTTCAATAACATATTTTTTAATTTTATATGTTTAGGTTTATGATTCTTTTCAAGAAATAAGAATCTTCGCTTCCGCTCGTTTGGCGGTAGAAGACAAAATAAAAGTAAGCTTATTGTATTTTCAATAATTATAAATAAAACTGTACTCGTATAATCGTATTTCTTTTAATTATTAAAATTTATATTTATTTAGATGTTGGATTTCATGAAAAAATTTCGAGAAAACGAACTGGGATTTAGTTGCGGTGGTTTTTTCGTTGTATCAAAGGAATGTCCGGTAAAGGTATATGGAAGTTTATCAAATATAAGACACATACGTAGAGTATTAATTCGAGTTCTGTAGCAATTAATTTACAACTGTAAAGATTTTAAACGTGAAAAAAAATAGGAAAAAATTAATTGTTCTTTTTCTCGTTAATAGGTGTACAGTTCGCTCTACTCTGCCTTCAACGTTCTGTTGCAAGTTCGAGACATTTTGAAAGGCGGAGATAACAAGTGCATTTCTT